GGCTGGATTAATGCAAGGGAATAAAAATTCCCAACAAGACCAAAGACCAAGAATACAAAATAATGGAAGTCGTCCACTGATCAAATGTTTCCACTGTAATCAACCTGGACATGTTAAATGGAACTCCAAAATAATAATAATAGTAATAACAATAATAACAACAATAACAATAATAACAATAGTGGCAAGCCAGGAGTTGTTTGTTATTGCTGCAGAGAGCCAGGACACTATAGTATGAACTGTCCCCAAAATAATAATGGGAATAATGGAGGAAGTAGTAACCAAGGCAACAATAATAACAACAATAATAACAGCAGTAATGGAAACACACCAAGGGTAAATAATAATTGCCAGAATAACAATAACCAACATTCTATGTTGGTAGAAACAAAAAAACAGAAGACCACCAAAGAAGGAGGAGGAATAGCAATGGATGTTCAAGATGATGAAGATAGTGATGCAAGAAAAAGGAAGGTACCAAGAAAAGAAACCAAGGATGCAAAACGGAAACCAGCAAGGAAGAAAAGAAATGCTGCTCAACCTCCTATTTCAAATTTAATCCAACCCTACTCTATAGTTACAGATATAAAGAAACAGAAAGCTGACATTACCTTTGGACAATTGTTCCATGCAATGCCAAAGTTAAGATCTGAGATGGCAAAGAGTTTGCGAACTCCTCAAACAAGGAAACCAAAGAAGACAAAACCGGTGGAACAATTTAATGTGGACATGAGATCTACTGCCATGTATTGTAAAGCCAGCATAAGTGGAAAGAGCTTTCCTATAATAGTTGATAGTGGAGCTGCTGGGAGTATAGTATCTAAAGGACTATTGGACAAACTCGGAATGGAAATCCCACGGAAATCAATGGTAACAATTATTAATGTAAACAGACAGAAGACTTCACCTTTGGGAGAAGTAGATGATTTACCTTTGACTATAGGAGGAATTACGATTCTATAGTTACAGAAGCAAATACATATCATGCTATACTTGGAAATGACTGGTTTGTCTAAAGTAGGAGCTGTGGTAAATTGGAGTGAATCAAAACTGACCTTTTCTTGGAAGGACCAAAAAGCAACAGTAGATGTAGCTCATAAATATGAAGATGAATTGTCATCAGGAGAAGAAGAAGAAGAATCTGATTCGTCAGAATATGAATCTTCTGGAGATGAAGAATTGGAAGTATTCATGTCAGAACAATCCACTAGAAAAAGACCTCCAATCATAATAGCAGATGAGGAAGACACTGATTATGAAGATGACTCATATCCCCAGATAATACCCATCTACAATTTTGCAACAGAGAAAGAAAGACCATTGACTACTATGAAAGAAGAATGGCATATCTTCCAAGGAAGACATTATCCCTGTGAGTGTGGAGAAGAAGATCACCATAATCATTTCCGTTGTATATGGTGCAAAAGGATCTGCAAAGGATTTCATAAGAATTGTCGTTGCAATTGGGAAGAGAAAGTACAAGCATATAATTTAAAGATAGAAGAGGAAGAAGAAGAGGTACCTTATGCTATTGATGTTGGAAAGGAACTTAGCCAAGAACAAACACAACAACTAACGGATCTATTATACAAGTATCATGACATATTCGCTTGGGAAAAATCAGACATTGGGAGAAGCAACATGACCTACCATAGTATTGATCTAACAGATGCAAGACCAATTAGGCATCAACCTAGGAGAGTGTCGCCAGATAGAAGAAAATTCATACAAGAAGAAATTCAACGAATGCTAGATGCTGGATTTATTTGTGAATCCAATAGTGAATATGCTTCAGGAGTTGTTGTGGTTGAAAAGAAAGGAGGAGAATTTCGATTCTGTGTAGATTACAGGGACCTGAACAAGAAGACTAAGAAAGACTCATACCCTTTGCCTAGAATAGATGACATATTGGAAACCTTACAAGGGTCACAATGGTTTTCATCACTGGATTTAGCAAGTGGATATTGGCAAGTGGAAATGAAACCTGAGGATGTACATAAAACTGCTTTCATCACACATCATGGATTGTTTGAGTTTACTGTTATGCCTTTTGGCTTAACAAATGCTCCAGGAACATTTCAAAGACTAATGGACAAAGTCCTTCAGGATGAATTATGGAAATTGGTAGTAGTCTACTTGGATGATGTTAATATATTTTCTAAGACCTGGGAAGAACATTTAAAACATTTGGAAAACATTTTCAAACGTATAAAGAAGGCTGGGTTAAAACTAAGTCCAAAGAAATGCCAATTTGGAAACTCAGAATTAAAATTCCTAGGACACATTGTGGGAAAGGAAGGTATAAAGATGGACCCTGCAAAAATAGATAAGGTTCAAAGCCAACTAATGTAACCCAAGTACAAAGCTTCTTAGGATTATGTAATTACTACAGAAGTTTGTCAAAGGATTTGCGAAGAGAGCTTCACCTCTTACAGAACTATTAAAGAAGGGGGAGGAATTTAATTGGACAAATAGACATCAGCAAGCTTTTGAAGATTTAAGGCAACAACTGACTATGGAACCAATCTTAATCTATCCAGATTGGGAGAAACCATTTATACTATCAACAGATGCATCAACTTTTGCTATTGGAGCAATCCTCTCACAATTAGACAAAACAGGAAGTGAAAGAGTAATTGCATATGCAAGTAGACAATTGAAACCTGCAGAAAGAAATTATGCATACTCTTCCAAATAAACAATGTAATACTTACAATTTAAAAATTTATAACTGAGCATGCGAAGCATGCCATGAATGATTACAATTTTTTTGTTGTAAAAAAAAAATTTATTTTTAAACAAATTACAAATTAATATTTGTGTATCAGTACACGGGCGACAAAGTCGCTAAAAATCAAAATTACTAGTTTTATAATAAATTGATCAACATTTCTCTCATTCATAGACAGATCATCAATTAAGTATATTTTAGTTCCTGAGCAAATATTAGAAATAAGGCATTTCATCATTAATCTTAAAAAAACCATTCAATCAGAAAATAACATTACAAGTAATAATATCATTGTTATTGATAATATTGAAAGTGTAATTAAAACATTATTACAATGAGCAAAAGATGCCAATAAGATTGATTTAATTAAAAATCCAAAAATTCAAATTCAAAATGAATGGTAAATATATTTTTTTTTGTGAGAATGGCAAATAACTTTAAAGTAGTAGTATCTGGTATGACTATATATTAATATATGGTTACTTTTTGTAGTGCTCATGATGTTGGGGGAATCTTTTGATATATTACACAAAAATTTTGGGATGATTTTAAATGCTATGAGTTTGAAGATTTTGGTACAGGATCTATGTTTGAAGGTCATGAAGACCATCATATTCTTGTTAATGATTTAATTTTATATGAGAATGGTTATTATGAGATTTTAGGAAAACTTCTATTCTGGAATTTCATCCATGATGGATCTTTTCCATATTATTTGGATGAATATATGTTTGATGAAGTAATTGATCATGTTGAGATGATAAAACTGGCATTGCCTATGCTGAATAATATAGTGAATAAAATTTTAGCTGGTGAAAGATATGAAAATATTGAAGGTTTTAAAGAATGGAGAGAATCATTTAATATACAAGTATGTATTTTATAAAAAATGAATTGTTTGATAATGAATTCATAGTAAGAAAATTTTCTAATTAATAAGGAACATGGGAGGACCCTGAACAATCTTAGTAGATGGTACATTTGAGGTTTAATAGTAACTCACCTTTTCTCTACCCACTTTTTTTAGAAAATTATACCCAGATTTAAATATACCATCCCCAAAAAATATGAAAAAT